TGAAAGCTACACACAGGCCACAGCACTGAAATTCACAATGTCATAGCTTTTGGCAGAAAAAAAGAGAAGACTTACCTAGGTTTAAATTGGCTGAAAGTATGGCAGAGCAGGTCTTGATGCGTATGCCCATCCGTGTGCTTGCCGAAGCTGAACTGACTGCAACACATTAACTCTGACCCACCATGGTGGCTGGCATATCCTGAACTTTCACCACTCTAAACAAGACAACTTTCAGCCCTCAGCATTGTATTAAACACTGTACATGACACTCAAAATTTGTTTCAGTGCCACTGCCATCCACGGACATCAGTCGCCATTCACCAGGCCAGTAAAAACAGAATAGATAATAGCTTCAAACCCATGTAGTCAGAGTTACTAGGCCTGCACCTCAAAACAAAATCCAGGTGACATTCACCACGCTAGTAAAAAAACAGGTACTTAGGTAACGTAACAGCTTCAAATCTGGTAACATGTTGGTCGGACTTTACACTACCATATTTACATGGAATAATATGACACCAAACAATAGTGCAACCATTCTGGACAACAAAAGTGTATGATAAAATTAATTTAGAATACTTTGGCAGCATGATTTACGAGCACAGGCAGGTGTTACCTACCAGCCTTCTCAATGCTCGTAAAACCAACATTGTAGTTTTGATTTTACTTTACATGATCATGACCTTACCTTACATTACCTTACACACTTGGCTGCAATGGCACATTTAATTTAATACTGTGAAAAGACCAGTTATAACCACTTCACAAGCACAATTGCACCTCATGCCGACATCCTTTTCCAAAGACAGTCAGCAGCGTCTTTCGTCAAAACTGGAAGATCAATCCCCTTTCAACTGTTAACATCAAAAATATTTCTTCATGGTGTGATCTCCATATGGAAACCTTGCAGGAAAAGAATTAATGTCAATTGTCAGCTCTTCAAATTTCTTTGGACTTTAACTTGCAGTACCATATCCAGTTGCTTTGATATTTTGTTTTTTATTCCATGTTGAAGTTGAACACCAAGCTCCAGATATAGCAGGCAGCTTGATCATCTTCGGCCTTGGTATAATATCAGTCCAAGTTCCAGTGGTGGGTATCTTCTAATATTCAAATTAAAATGAAAAGCAATAGGCTTTCTCAGCGCCGACGACGGATTTCACGTTGATAAAAAAGGGAGCTCAAGGTCAGCAAAACTCGGGTTCAAGGAATGGCGGGCGTTGAAATGACTGCTGACGTCGTCAAAAAACCGCTAATGGTTAAGAGATAGGGACTAAGCTGGTCCCACCCTGCAAGTAAAGGGAAGAAATTTCTTGAACACCATAAAGCTGCGGGGGTTGCGACCAGGATAATTGGTGGTTTCTGAGCCTGGCCGCAAACTTGGCTATCTCAACTCAAAACTAATGTTAAGGTGGGATGGTCCCTTTAAGGCATTTCTCGATGTTGGAGTGCCGAAACCGGTAATTGTGAGCCAGGGACCCCATTTTGGCTATCTCAACTCAAATCTAATGTTAAGGTGGGAGGGTCCCTTTAAGCGGGTTGAGGCTGGGAGAAAAGGGGGGGGGGGCTAATCTCACAATTTCACGGAGAAAATCACGAAAATTCTCACGATTTCCCGATGTCACGGAACAGGCGGCCTAAACACGATTTCAAGGTCATGTTCGGACGACCCCTAGCCCGTGCCTAGCTGAGTGAACGAGGGTTCATGTCTGTGGTGATAAACTGAATGTCCAATGATAAAAGCGCGCGTTAGACGGCGCCCAAAAAGGGCTTCAGGACTTTCCGAACACCCTGTACAATACGCAATATGCATGCATTGCAATATCTTGATTCTTGAATTGCGCTGTGCCAGTCTAAGGCTATGTATATTGGAATTGGGTATATTTGATAGAGGGGAAGTCCATTGGTGTTAATTTTCATAAGCTTTATTTACGTTGTGATTATAAAGGTTGAATCAGATTGAACACTTTTTTTTTGTATGGGTATACAAATGAGTAAACATGCGAAGCAGTTACTCCTCGCCAGTGAAAACATTCCTGCAATGAAACTTTCTCGCTATGAATCGTGCTTCCCTTTCAATTATATTGATTTTCATCCTTACCTGTCGCATATAACCCGCCTCTTTTAGAAGAACTTCTGAAAGGTGTCACCACGACACGCATTTTAAGAGACACCCGGCGCTCTCTGGAGGCATGCGGTGACCCCGGCACACGCAGGACATACTGGATCAAGAGGAAGGACGTCACGAACGTGGCGGCCTCCATCGGGGTCAATACGTCTGGCGACCCTACTACCACCAAAAACGCCAACGAGGTCGTCAGCGTAAGCATGTATGCTGAGGAGATTCGCGCATCGGAACAGGTGAGCTTATTACGAGCGAGTTCGAAGTATGTAAGTGTTTACTTGTTGAAGCACTTGCTGTATGTAAGGCATAGGTATAAGTTCTATGAGAAAAACACTTTTAAATGGCCTCCTTACAATGAAATACCGAAAGATGAAATAATGAAGTAATTATTGATGATTTCGACCACAGGTCATTATCAAAATAAGCCAGACAGAACTTTTGTCAGACACAACGGGAAGCTCACAATATCGGCAGAAAAATTCACATTTTCAAACATTTCACGTGAACACATTGCATATAGAGCTCACCTAAAATGCTGCTACAACTAACGAATGAAGTATATGTTATTAGGTTAAGTCCTATAGCCAAGACAAAGTTTAAGAATGTTCCCTATAATACCTCCCCCCCCCCACACACACACACACCACAGAATAAATGACAACAGTGATTTCACAATCCCACAATCATTTCTAGATACGTTTACAACAAGTATCAGTAGGTAGATGTGCTACATACTCGATATGCACGTCTATGAATAGGCACCTAAGCGATGACATGTACTTGACACAGTCTAAAATATGATATAAAAAAAATAGAAATGTCTCTTCCTGGTTCATATTTTAGACTGTGTCAAGTACATGTCATCGCTTAGGTGCCTATTCATAGACGTGCATATCGAGTATGTAGCACATCTACCTACTGATACTTGTTGTAAACGTATCTAGAAATGATTGTGGGATTGTGAAATCACTGTTGTCATTTATTCTGTGGTGTGTGTGTGTGGGGGGGGGGGGGAGGTATTATAGGGAACATTCTTAAACTTTGTCTTGGCTATAGGACTTAACCTAATAACATATACTTCATTCGTTAGTTGTAGCAGCATTTTAGGTGAGCTCTATATGCAATGTGTTCACGTGAAATGTTTGAAAATGTGAATTTTTCTGCCGATATTGTGAGCTTCCCGTTGTGTCTGACAAAAGTTCTGTCTGGCTTATTTTGATAATGACCTGTGGTCGAAATCATCAATAATTACTTCATTATTTCATCTTTCGGTATTTCATTGTAAGGAGGCCATTTAAAAGTGTTTTCTCATATGTAAGTGTTTGGCAGATTATTGAAAATTATTACGAGCGAAGCAAGAAACGGCATATGGATGGATAATCTAAGCATAAGCGGCAATGGTCACGTCTTTGAGAAGCTTATCTTTCAGCATTTGCAGGCTGGGCCCATTGACATACGCTAGTTATACGGCCTTGACGCTAGTTGAGTGGATTAATCCATTATTCCAAGTAGGGACTATTCCCGATGGGCGATGCATGTGGGTGATCCCTATTAGTTCCTGTCAGAGGTGCAAAATAAAGAGATGCTCAGCGAAGAGTTAGCTTTTTGAAGACTTACGTAGCTCCAATGATACATTTATAACTCGGTAATTTTTAGCTGATTGTGCTAACACATGTCAAATTGGTAGACAAGTGCTTTTCTATGCATCACGTCCGAGCGGTGCTAGTGACGTACAGACACTGACTTTGACGATGCATCAAACAATCTCATTCATTGCTTGAACTGTGTTGTTGCCCATTAACTGTAACAATGTCGTGTCTTACAGCAGCACCTGCTGGCGCTGAAAATGCCTGGGGACACCGATCCTGAAGGCTGTGTGGCAGAAGACGACTTCATATTCTCGTTCTGCACGGAGTTTCAGCTGAGGAACTTCATCAGGCATGGATGTCGCACCATCTGCATTGATGTACCTCATGGGACAAGTCAGGGAGACACCGGTTGGTCACGTGACTCGGAAACAAAAATCAGCTGATAGAGTGGCGGAATCGCCGTAATCGAACACGAATAATTCCGGACGATAGAGCGGCATTATAGGAGTTTTCTTCACAACAGGTAAACATTGCAATGTTTTATCATTCTATGATCAAGAAACGTTCATAAATCATATATTTCTTCGATGATTACTGCCGCAACCGACGCGCACATATCGTAGCCAGCGTAGCCACATAGCGCCGTAGCCAGCGCATAAAGCTGTGCTTTGCGATATTATATGTAAAGAAACGGCCAATGCTTATTATGCGTAACAAAGCTCGAAGAAGATAGAATTCTATCCTGCTTCAACCTTCTACTTACGCTTTTATAATTACGATAGCGACACCATACGGCCTATCGACGCTATGCAACTCTATGGAGTGTCCGGCCGCACTCTGCCGAGTGTGCCGAGATCAGAGGCGGACCATCCGCGGCACGTCCAGCTTTACTGCCCGGTCGCTGGGAGGGCGACACCTAGCGCCGCTCTGGCCGCTCGCTTCCGCGCACAACTAAGCTACCTGGCTACGCCTGTGGGAGGGGAGGGAGAAAACAATAACAGTCTGATGAGCCAATGGAGTCTGTGAGCCACGCCAATCAGCGCCCTTCCGCGCGCAGACGAGAGCTAGAACTATTCATCTTCTTTCCTGTTTTCACTGGTCCGCCAGTCACCAGCAACGTCCGTGAAGTCGATCGTAGCCATTTCGCGCCAGTCGGCCGCCAGGGTATCTACAATATCTATTCTTGTATAGCATTGCAAGCATTTTAGTATTTGTAGCCGGGTGTTATCAGTAGTTGACGCATTTCTGTGTTTTGTGTAACACAATTGGAAAATACAGCGAAATACATACTTAAATTCACATAGTTTTTTATTCTTGGCACGGATTGGTTACCCTTGCTTCAGCAAACAGCCAATCTCCATATTTCTGTTCCGAAGCTGCAGTGGACACCAAAAATACATTACGTTATGATAACATAATCCAAAGATACACAGATTTCACGCTGAACTGCTAGGTTCCAGAGAAGGCATTTTCTCGCTCACGGATGCTCAGCAAAAACGCGCGATTGATTGCAGCTAGCGCCCTCACGATACAAATATCACGCTCGCCAAAACCTGCCGGTTACAGCCACTCACACCTTACTTCCAACCTCTGTTACATTTATCATTTATTAGCATATCGAGACAGAATGAGACCACGGCATGATCGTCAAATTACATAACAGAAATTGCAGGACATTGGCGAGTCCGTAAAAATACCCCAATCTCAGCCAACACCGTTGAGACGGAGGGGGAGGGGGGTCGAATCCGGGACACGTATCGGCGTATCCTTCACAGATCCAGGTGTCTCACGCTCATGGACGCTCAATCAACCCTGGCACACTATCCACCGATCACGTCGGCTCTGACTATCTTAATTTCGTACTGAGATCTTATGACGGGCCTGCCATTTGATCCTATCCGACAGTGCAGTGCACTAACACCCGAACACAGCCTTAAGTGCACTATGCGGCCTTCTTCGGATGACGCCTCAGAACAGGGCACTCGGAGCAGGTGTTGCACCCAAATGCCTGTAGCGTCTTGTTCGTGCCCGGCAATCAGCATTTCGGAGTCGGATGGTCTTAGGCGGTGGCAGCACTTGTCGCCGTGAAGCCTTCGTTCGGGCGACACCGTCAGCTCGAGCGCCGGCAAGTCACGGAGTGACCTGTAACACAGCGAGTCGCAGCACGTCACGTCTCACGACGACCGTCACGTTTCAGCCCCGACGGCCGTTATGTAACAGTCACGGCAGCCGTCACAAAACCAGCCACGGCGACCGTCACATTGTTCACCACGGCCGTAAAATACTAGCCACGGCGACCACGACTCATGGCTCATAACGTTTCCTGTCGCACACTCAGCTATAATAACAGTACATTAGCCTGTAAATACATTTCTCGCTCAAGAAAATGACGCCCGAGCGAGTCCGAGACCCACCAAACGTCACGACACTGGCAACGGCACCCGCATTAGCCGGCATCCCGTCCCGGTAACATACCTACAAAGTTCCCCCAAGCCGCTCACCTAGGGACGCGGCGACGTGTCACAAAATTGTAAGCACGTCACTGACCTGGTGACGTGGCGGGACACAGCTGACCGAGCAGTGGAAACGTTGCTTCACACAGTTACTGACCTGGAGATAATGTGATCGTTTCTGGACAACGTGACTGGATACGCGCGCCGCGTGGATGACCATCACACTCCACAACTTCTTGCCGAGTGACGTCCTACAGCTGATGGATCGAACCGTTGTCTCCAGAACCACCGCCAGCAACGAGCCTGGTGGAGGATAATGTGTTCAGAACTCAGAAACCACAAAGCATAGTTACCTGCAATACAAACGACAAAGCCGGCCACAGGCACACAATGGCGAACTTTTATGCTAAGACTTGGTTTTATCGGTACACAAGATTGCAAACGTCCATGATGAAACTCAAATCACATATCTAGCAAGCAAATAAATACCTGAGAAAGCAGTGCACAGAACTTGTTTAACTATCTAGGAGCTTATATCTCTGTATTGCACACACGGTGAGCAGACAAGCCTCTGCCACGCCATACCTTCTTTGGCCCATATCAGTGAGCAGCTGATGTAGTCTGCCTGATTTTCGACATGTGCGAGGCTGGCGATGATTGCGCCTGCAGCGTCCCACGCGTAAGCCAAGCTGCCGAGAGCCATGCCAGCTAGTTGGAAGAGCTTCCGTTCAGCTAGCAAGTGCAGGTAGTAGCCATCCAGCAAGCCTGGCATGAGGCACTTTCACCAACTTCTCAGGCGTTGACGAGATGGAGTGCCTGGGGTGTGTGCGCACCAAAAAGCAGCAACTGTATGCGCAGAACATTGGCGTAACCTGGATGAATGAAAGACAGAGGGAGTCAGGAGTACAGGGGTAGACAACTGATATAGGCGAGGGGAGCACTGGAGACTATAGTTCGACAACTCTAAGAAAGAACGAAGCTAAGCCTAAGGTGCCTCAAAGCACTTAACACATGCATTGAACATTGGATAGCCTACCTGCGCTTAAATTTGACTGAAATCATCTCAGGCGTATTGGAAGTGTATTTAGGGCCTTGTTGGAAGTTATCTTCAGAGACATGTGCATCAATAACTATTGCACTTCAAAGCTGTTCTTTCTTAGCACCTAGCTTTGTCAGACTAAGACCATATGAAAGCCATCTGCAGCACAAATGGATGGAACAATAGCCTGAGAAGGTACTGGTATAAGTCACATTTATGAGGATCCATATTGAAGAAATTGTGATAAATGGCTCCCTTTCCCTCCTCATTGGAAGGAAGATGATGGTGACCCTGCCACTTTTTTTCTACTAAGGAAAAGAATCATACAAAATGAATAAAACTTATCACTAATGGATTTACAAACTGTCACCTAAGTTAAAACATGCTGTCTACAACACAACAGCTTGGAAGCAAGTTTACCCAACCCACAACCAACATTGCAGTTTCCGCGGGCGCCTGCGGGTAGCGCCTATCCTTTGTTGCAAAAACAAAATACGTGCATATGCCCACTCATGCGACATTTGCCTTACTAATATGACAATGGCCTGGGCTGGCGCCCTGGTGGGTTGTTAAAGCTGGACCCATCCAGTGGACAGGCCACTCATCCCCCTGACACTCACTGCAACCGGCTACGGGAGTGCTCTAGTCCTATACGGGAGCTAACCACATGAGATGAAGTTGTTCGTCCAGCCAAGAACAAGATGTGGCATGGAATAGGATTTGACTAGCCCGAGGATGAAATTGACGGAACAGGGGGGAGGAGCGTCACAAAATGACTAGCCCCTGGGCAGGGGCAGCCGGGCGGCCAAGGGATTTAGGTATACAGCTTTGGGGTACGAATACCTCCATACATTGAAGTCTAATTGTTACAAGACAATTGACAAACAAATCATAACAACATCAACTACATACCTTTGCCCCGGTTTTTTGAATCTCAATTAAACCATTTAAACCATGGAAAAGAAGATAAAATACAAAATCAGCCAGCCTAGCACTGATAAGTGATAACCTCTCAAGATAAAATATAGGTTTTCAACTTGGTTTTCAAGTAGGTACCTACTACCTACCTTTCATTATCAGTCCCGTCAACCTATCTACAGCATTTTTGTCAAAATGAAATCTAAAATCAGAAAAATCTTGTCCAAAATACGTGCAAAATACACAACAGCATACACGGCATTATCTACAAGTTAAACAAGTGTTCTCTGTTAGCAAATAAAATGCCGTTCGACCAATCCATTGCCAACACTTGCGTCTGCTAGCGACAAATATCTCGTTAGCAGCATTTACTGCGGGCAACTGCGGGTGTGTAATCATGATCGGCAGTTTTCAATACCAAATTTCGTAAAGTTGCAACGTTTATTTTGTTTCACAACTGATACCAATAGATAGAAAATTTAATCTTCTTTAGTATACTATTCAAAATAGACCCCAACTCAGTCTCGTTTTTGAGTATTTTGCCATTAAGTGTCACAGTGTGACCTTTAGCAGCAAGAAACCTAGTACATTCTAGACAAAAAAATATACAATACAACACCACAACTGCCATAAAACATGCATATTAGGAAAGAAAACAAAATTTTCATTTTGTTGAAGTCATTTTGCAAGCCCACTCTTGACATATTTACCAAATATCAATGTTTTTGTTCAGAACTGTTCAGTACCATAAATTCTAAGTTTTAGATTCGGAAGCAGATTGGTTAAAGTTCCAACGTTTGTTTCGTTTCAGTATTTTGATATGTTATAGTGTATGCAATTTCGTATATGTTGGTGTTTTTTTTAGACCCCAACTCGACTTCGTTTTTTAGAAATATTATATTTAGTGGAGCATTGTGACCATGGACAACAATGGTGGCTATGTAATCAACGTCAACTAAATGCAGTTTGCAACATTAAAAAGGCAACGAGACACCCAAAATCTGAAAGATAATTTAATTTTGATATTTATTGACCATAATTTAAGCCCCAACTCACTGAAATTACTCGACAATTCATGGTAGAGCATTGGCAGGTCGGGTAGGCTGAACAGCTCAGAACAATGGTAATTTCGAAATTCGACAAGAGTGAGTTGGCCTTTGATATTACTTTTTGTCCTTTAATTTTAAATTTTGATTGTGAAAAATCAATCTTGTCTATGAACAATCCTTGCAACTTTAGATATATAATTTTTGAAATGGCGGAGATAGCCAACAATTTATTTTCGTTAATGCTTCGCAGATTCGTACATGGCGTGCTCTCTGATCATAAATCAAAAATATATTTACAAATAATAAAACTCATTGGAATTTGTTGCTTAGTTCTCTTTTTCAGACTTAAAGGGTCAGCTGAAAATAGTGGTCAAAATACCTTAGTGTTGTAATTTCGAACCGGTTTTACCTAGTTCTCTATATACCGTGGGACAAGTGGTGAGTGTCTATCCGTGATTGCAGGTTCGCCTCGCCAGTTTCAGGTGCTGAGTGTTCAACGTGCGTTGGAAGTTCGATGGGAAGTTCGATGTTCGATGCGTACACATTGCTTGTTGGTTTTAATTATATTGTTTGTTTGTGAGATGACTAGAATAGTAATTCGTTGGGTCACAAGTGATCTCATACTGTTGTACAGATTCGGTTACGCCATCTTATGTATGCCTGTTCGTTTAGTCTTACATTGGTTAAAAGAGGCCGTGCTACTTATATGGCACGAGAATGTCACTAATATCCGTTGGTGAGATCAGTTGATTCGGCGCTTTTGTGACGTTCGATGATTTGTACATTTCTGTGCCTTGTATAGTTAACTTTTGAACTGAAGAAGGAACGTTTCCGAAATATATTCATTCATTTTAGGCTAATTTTGGATTGTTAAAAGACAGTGAGCATACGGTTATTCTTCTATGATATTCAAATGTATTATACTTCCAGAGGTAAAAAAAAACTTATTTTGTGTCTCCTACAAATTTTTCAACCCCCTTTGTGTCCCCTGCCCCTGGAGGCCGGATAAGCGTTGCACTAGGAGGTAAAATTTGAAGAAAAAATATAGAATTCATTGGGCCGGGTCACTCGGAATTCTACTCGACAGGGCGTGTCGTCAACGTCAGTGTGGCCCTAAACCTGGATAATATACAGTGTCCCAAAATTTGTTGATTTAGGTGGGAAATAATTAAATTCATTTGCCACTCTCGTTACCAATTTCTGAGACCAATCAACCATCTCAGCCAGGAACACCTTGAGTTTGTTACCTCAAAAGGCACTTGTGTAGATACTTGGTTTATGATCATGGATACTCATATGGATAAAAATAAATGTCACTGATCTTTTCTCACTATTTTTATATCTAATATTACCAGCAGTATCTACTCTCTTCCCCCTTTTTGGTGGATAATATTCCCCTATCCCGCGAGTTGCTGGGGAAGGGCGTTAAAGGGACCCTCCCACCTTCAAAAAAGTGAATGAATTGGCATGAAAGTGATGTCGCTCGGTTCAGAAAGAGCAAAAACGAATATCTACCAAATTTCATCGAAAAATATTCACCGGTTTTCCAGATATTAGACTTTTACTTTTGTTTACTTTTTGGGATCTCCGCTGTTCCTAGCGACTTTATTTGAAAGTGCGGCATTTGTTGCGCGCAAAGCAGCATATATCACCGCGTGCTACAAAACGTTTTAGTCAAACATTTAACGGACGTTCGAAAGCCTGATGACGTCATCAGACTCCCGTAATGGTTAAGAGATAGGGACCACGCTGGTCCCACCCTGCAAGTAAAGGGAAGAAATTTCTTGAACACCATAAAGCTGCGGGGGTTGCGACCAAGATAAATGGTGGTTTCTGAGCCTGGTCGCAAACTTGGCTATCTCAACTCAAAACTAATGTTAAGGTGGGAGGGTCCCTTTAAACGCCCCCACTTTTTTCGCCGCGCTGTAGGTTAAAAACGGCGCGCCGTAGGCGTGCCAAATTTTGGGTACCTGTAGGGAATTGATTAAAGTATATTGTGCCAAAGCTTCAAAAAATTGGTCCTACAATTTTTGTGATCTCGAGGTTTTAGTGACGTCATGATATGGTTTTCCCATATTGGTTTTCAACCAAAATGGGATATGTTCGAAAAATAATATAAAATCACAGAATAGACATAACGACATGCCATAAACGCCATTAGACTGCCAATGTTATGTACAATCAAATGGCTATCTTCGATTTTTGATAACCGTTCTACATTTTCCAAAATCTTGGACTGAATCTTGACTATTTCTCGTGACACTGTACGATCTTGATGCATGCATTTTTTAAATTGATATTTTTCAATCAAACACGTACTCGTAGGATAAAATAAATGTCACCATCGTTCTACGCCCAAAATTACCCATAAAACATGTGTCATAGACTGCGAATATCAGTTTTGATTTTCGGGGGTATGTTCTTATCTGATTCACCTGACCTTGACCCTGACCTATACTTGACCGACCCCTACATGGATCTGACACTCTTGTAGCACTTATATGAGGGATAATGCTCAGTTTTGACAGAGTTATTGACGAGAGGCGCCCATTACGAGGTTCTGAAGTTCATGCTACCGAAAGCCCCATTTCAGGTGTTTGACCTGACCTTGACTCGACCTGTGATCTCGAAATTGAACTTTCAAGTACTCATCTGAAGCGTCTCGTCGCGTTCTTTCGTTTCGATGCGCCGATTGGTTCTCGAGTCATGGGCTGGGGGCGTTTAACGCCCCTCCCCAGCAAACGGCGGGTGGCGAAATACCCCAGCAACTGCCGGGCTATAACACCCCAGCAAAAACTCAATTTTGGGATACTGAATGCATGTGTACCTAACTTATCTTGTGCAGTGCAGATGCATTTAAGAATTGCTGACAAGCAATTTTACATTTTTCCATAATACATTTGGATTTGTGTTCTCTATGGTGAGATTTCATACCTTTTATGGCATAGCAAATAATAGGTACCTATGTATAATACAATATACCTGCCTATGCAACATGTTGCAAAAGGTGGCAAAAGGTTCCTTTTCTAGGTACATACATCAAGGACACTAATATTGTTAAACCAAAATTCCAATCAATAAATTTTTGGCATTAGTATACCCCTCGCATGTGTGCGGCGTTTGCCAGCTTCTCATGTCTAATCGGTTCTAACGTCGAGGGGGGGGGGTCGGTTGGACCCCCTTGGCGTTTGGCCCCTGATCGAGCTAGAGCTTCGCGGAAAAAACGAGCGTGTTGCCCGTGACGAGAGGAAGCTGATGATACCCAATTTTAAGGTCCTAGGTCATTGGTTGACCTTCCAGGTCAGGTCAATGACCCAAAGTCGGGAAAATCGGGACCTGTTAGAAAGTCGTTAAGTGTGGCTGCTATGCTAAGGGTTTTTTCGGGGTGCTGATCACGAATATCGTGTTAGTTTTGATCACAGATGATGTCTTTAAGCATTTAGACAAGGTCGGGTCAGGTCAGGTCAGGTCAACCAGCAGGCGTCGTGACGGGTATTCGTAGTACGTGTCAACCGGGTGCGTATTATTTAGGCCAGGGTTCATAATGTCCAGGGCACAATGTGTCCAGTGCTCGAATTGGCCAGTGCCTTGAATTGGCCAGTGTTCACATTGTCCAGGGATTACATGGTCCAAAAGTGGCCAACTGGCTGCAGATAGGGTAAATTCAAAGAGGCCAGGGTTCATAATGTCCAGGGCACGATGCGTCCAGTGTTCAAAATGGCCAGGGTTCATAATGTCCAGGGCACGATGTGTCCAGTGTTCGAAATGGCCAGTGTTCATAATGTCCAGGGCACGATGTGTCCAGTGTTCAAAATGGCCAGTGCCTTGAATGGGCCAGAGTTCATAGTGTCCAGGGATTACATAGTCAACCCAACCCAACCAAACCTAACCTAACCTAACCTAACCTAACCTAACCTAACCTAACCTAACCTAACCTAACCTAACCTAACCTAACCTAACCTAACCTAACCTAACCTAACCTAACCTAACCTAACCTAACCTAAGGTAATGATGTTTGCCTACCAGGGATAAGGAAATAGTTTCTCGCATGAATAGATTGCAAGCAATAGTAAATCAAATATTTTTAGGTTAAGTGGTTATGCATCAGGCTTCAGGCCTTCGGCCTGAAGCCAGATACATAACCACTTAACCTAAAAATATTTGATTTACTATTGCCTGTAATCTCTCCTAAGGCATTGCCTTCGGCACTGCACTGCTTTGCATTGAGCTGATTCCGTGTTTTTTACATAATGACGTCACTTTCAGTGAATATGTAATCCCTGGACATTATGAACTCTGGCCCATTCAAGGCACTGGCCATTTTGAACACTGGACACATCGTGCCCTGGACATTATGAACCCTGGCCATTTCGAATACTGGACACATCGTGCCCTGGACATTATGAACCCTGGCCATTTTGAGCACTGGACACATCGTGCCCTGGACATTATGAACCCTGGCCTCTTTGAATATACCCTATCTGCAGCCAGTTGGCCACATTTGGACCATGCAATCCCTGGACATTATGAACTCTGGCCCATTCAAGGCACTGGCCATTTTGACACTGGGCATAGCGTACCCTGGACATTATGAACCCTGGCCAGAATGAATGCTCCCCGTGTCAACCACCTCTGACAGCTTCGTAACATGTTACTAAGTCACAAAAACTACTTCGTAAATGTCCAAATGGTTGCTAAATTCGAATTCAGCTCCAAAAACTAGCCTAGAAACATGTAAAACTCGAAAAAGTGAACCGAGGTCACCAAAGGTCACTGACTGACTTCAGGTGACCTTGACACCCACCCTAATGCATGGGAGCAACATCAAATCACATGTTTGAACATTTGAAACCACGAAAAGCCTGCAAACGCGCGGCTAATGCGAGCCGACATACGCGGAATCGCGATTCCGGCCAAACATGGTCTCGGAAAAGAGGTCACAGATCAAAGGTCATTGGGGTCAGGCCAGGGTCATGAAATTTTCAGGGTAGGTGTAAACTTGGTCAATGCGAGGGTACTGAAAGTTTCGTCGCGATCGGCCGCTTTTTACGCGAGTTATTCGCGAAAAACCATGGGGGGTCCATCCGACCCCCCCCCCCCCCTACACATGCGAGGATACAATACGTCCAAATAAAAAAGGTGTAGGTGCTAGGTATAGGTGGGTTGTATTGTGTGCTTCCGAGCTTGTCGGTTGGCAGGTTAAAAGGGACCCTCCCACCTTTAAAAAAGTAAATGAATTGGCTTGAAAGTTATGTCGCTCGGTTCAGAAAGAGCGAAAACGAGTATCTACCAAATTTGGTCTGAACGAAAATGACCGCCGAAAGGTCATTGGCCAGTTTTACATGGAAAACTGGGCGAAGGGCAAACCATATACTGTAAAACATTTTTATGTGATGAATGTACCGAGAAAAACAATCTACCGGG